ATCTGCGACACGTGAGGGAGTCTGTATGGCCTTTTCACAACTCATTATCTGGATAAGAAGTGGATTCGCAAAGGTCCTCACATTATCGGTTAAACAACTATACAGGTTCCCACAACTAAACATGACTGAGCTTCAAAACCTATGCAAGAGTCTTTACGACAAAACAACAAGTACGTATCTTCCGTCTAGATCCGGTCTACAAATGAGCCCAGGCAGAAGCGTACAAAGACTATATTCTTTAGCCTCAGTTCACTTCTGACCCACTGGCATGATGCAGCTTTGCTACTGTCAGTACAGACTTACAAACTTTGCTGCCGCAATTCGGGGTAAGCAGATGTCACAAGAAGATCCCTTAATTTTTACCACTTTTCATTCCAAAAGTGCAAAACCGTGCACAAAGTGCTGGAGCTAGGTAAAATAATAATAGTCACCCTTTGGTACATAAGTGCACGGCGCTTAAAAAACCCTACAAGTTGTGAAATTTAAGGTGATCAGAATGTTGGTGTACAAGCGTGTGCTAGGAATGTCAGTGTTTACAACATGGTGACTCAATTACGTATGTACCATGTATATATTTATCATGCACAAAATCCTGAACTTGAATATGCGCTGAAATACAGAACATAATCATCCAGGAATTGTCAGGACCGAATCTCCTAATCCTGCACATGGTGTACTGGGCTCTTATAAAAAAACCATAACTCCAAAATAGATTTGCCATTAAGCTACCTATATAGGTGAACCGCGGAATATTGTTATTCCAAGCATCAGAATTCCCTACGCCATGTATCAACCATTGTTTAGTCTAAAAGTTTAAAAGTTCAGTGATGGTTAGTTCCGAACTTATCAGTTGAACTAAACAAATGATTTGTTTTACAGGCTTTACCAAAAGGTACAGAGAGCAACAGACAGCTTTTTTTTCGACCGTACCCGATAAGTCAATCTCACTTAGTATTTCAAACACCGTACCGATCATCCCACACATGGCAAGTCGTCCGCACCTTTCGGAGGAATGTCTAACCTAGAGGGGGTTAAACGTCACCAGTTAAAGGGTGCACCCAAAAATGAATTTTATTCGTCTGTAAGTAAGAAAACTGCTAAAACCTGCCAAAACAAAAGGGTGGAAGCATCTAGCTGTCAAAGATTCAGTTGAAAAGCAGCGGGCATAAGGATACAGCAATGACACTAGATATTAGATGATAGACAAGCCAAAGGTTGAACGCATTTGATGACTAAATGAAAACCACTCAAAATTCGCAGGCAGCAACGGACGCATGCGAGCTTGAATGTGAGCGATAACACCAGAAGAGTACCAGAAAAAATTGTTTGTTTCACTTTATGGTGTGTACTTAGTACCTGTTGGACAGGGATCTGGGGATTCATATATAGATTCGCCTGGAAAATGGGGTAAGAGGGCGGATTCATTACAGTCAGTTGAATAAAAAAAGTCCAAGGCAATTCCCGTAACTCAAGTCACTACCTGAATCTGCCTGAAATGCGGGAGAATGTTTGGAATGTTTAGAATAAAATCTACCAATACGATCGGCTTCAACTAGGCAAAGGTTCCCGCTAGTATCGAAGATTTCTGGTGTTCACCAGTGGATAGCGTATGTACCAGGTATTATTTCGCTTCTGAAAATCAATGAGCCCTAGAACAATGTCTCGTACTCCTTTATATTACTCAGCTTGTTACTCGAAAATATTGCTGGTTTTCAGGCTGGCAAGACCTCAGTGGTTAGAAACCAGTAAAAGCCGATCAGTTATCTTGATTAGCTTCAAGCAGTGACAGTCATTGCTTCAGGAACTGTCATTGCACAAGCGTAGTCGACCAACGAGCAGATCCAGACATTGCTTATCACGTGGATCATGGTTTACGAAAATAGGGACCGTTGAAGCGCATGTCGCGGGCTATTTCTTAAAACTGATCGATTATTTCTGGAATACTTCGGATTACACCTGTAAAACCCCATTTGTCCACATGTCGATCTGTCCTCTTTTCGAAAGTTTGTGCTCCTTTTTTGACCAGTGGTGAAGGACTTCTTGGTGGTCAAAAAGCAGGAAAACAGGCAAATAACTTGTTCCGCAGGAGGAATTTACTCCATTGGCTTTGGAGAACGACTAAGCGGTTCCGGCAATTGCAAGGATCAATAATTTCGTTAGGGTAAAGATTTGATACAATAAGCAAGGAATTTACTGTAGTGACCCATTCACACGGAACTTATTTACGAACACCTAATCATAGGTCAGAGGAATCTTGCTCGCATGAATTCAACCATAAAAATGTTAACCACTAACAGTTTCTTATTAATGGAACGGATAAAAATCCTCCAACTACAAGCGACTTTTTAAACTTGCAAACTGTGATTAAACCCTTTAAACAATAAGACAACGCAGATGACGTCAACAAATGTTTATTCTTTAACTTTATGACCCGATCACTTGTAGTACAAAATAATGACGGCAGTCAACTTTTCAAGCAGACACTCTACAAGGAATCAGACCACAGACTCATTTCCTGATGTTTCAACTTGTAGTGCCAGAACAACAGATAGACGGTGAAACTTAGACTTTCCGAGAAATGAGTTTTTACCTAATGCGGATATGGACATGTTTATCTGTAAAACACATTAAATTTCAATGAATTGCGGATTCTCGTATTATCAACTTTTATGAAGTTCTGCTCTCATCAGCATCTCTTACGTATATTGGTGTCTAAGAAGTGTTTGAGTTGACTAAAAGTGCTCCTTTTTTTAATTAGCTGCACAAGGTATGACTAACGGAAAATAACTGTTCAGTTACCGCGGTGGAGAAGCCATTATTTGCAGGTGCTTGGGAACATTTTCTGTTACATTTTAAAGTCATGATGCAAACTTGGGAAAGAGATCTTCCACATTTCGGACAGCTTACAAATCGGCACTGAAATATGACCCGCATACATTAATGGCCTAAGAAAGTAAGACTTACAGTAGACAACTAAAGGAGCTAGAATTTCGCCGCTAAACTACTGGCGTTGACAACCTTTTCCAGATTAAGCAGGCTTGTATACTGAGATGAGCGAATATATTTCAAATGCCCCGAAAATTTTCCCTTCGGAGCCAAGATGTCTTGGACAGAATAAGCAATGTGCGTTGCAAGTCGATTTTGATCTATTGTGCGGGGCATCTAGTGACAAATCTTCCACCCAGAAACTAAGAACGATTATTCAGAATTGCATTTCAAACGTACCATTTTTGTAAGAACGTTGTTCATCTTTCGCGAAGGTATTTTTTGAACCTGGAAGGAGTTCAAGCAGCTCCCGCTTGCTTATTCTGCTAGTCAAACTCTGTATTATACCCTTACGATGTTTTAAACTGTTTCGTTGGCACGTGGTTAAAATCGGCTCACGACAGATGTCCGACATATGGCACACCTACGTACTGAGTCACTTAAAATAAGTTTACAGAAATTAAATGATTTCTTTCCGGTCAAGAATTTGCCAGTTAACTTTCTCGTGTAGATGTTTTCAACACAATTGTGTCTGCACAAGCGCAATGTTCGTTTCGTCACTACATTGTACCGTAGATAAACCAACCAGATGACGTCACAAACTGGAAGAATGAGAAGAGCTATCAAATCTGCTGTAGGATTCGAAGTAAGTTCGCTGTGCCTGACGTTCCGGAGGCAGCTATTTGGGGTAACTATGCTTACAACCGCCAAGGAGAAAGGTTACTACTACGTTTAAAATAAAAAAAATTCGGGTGCACATTTTACGGGGTGCTGTGGCTCCTGAACTCAGAAACACTAAGAATTACTTTTGAGCAAATTTTGCGTCTGTGGAAGCTCTATATTATGGTTACTGATAGGTTGTGATATCAGCTACCAGTCTTTGACAAATCAGCTTCTCTTCTGAAATGAAAGTGTTTTCTGGGCAATTCAGATTAGCTCTGTCGACTGCTATAATACATCTGGATACACGATGCACACATAAGGTGTCGTCACTGCGATCCCGCAGGTCGTTCTCGTAATTTGTGAAAACCGGCAGCTGTGTTCTTTCTGCATGCATCTGAGGACACAAACACATACTTTTAAATTTTCTGATCATATGATACGTACCTTTGGATCAGTGACAAGATACAAAGTGCTTAGTTTGGTACCAGTTTTGGAACAGATGTGCAAATGTAAGCGAGAACGCAAACCCCAACATTTGTACGTAAGATGATGTTTTTTGATTGATCAAAGCAAGCGGCATTTCAGCAAAATCGCGTGTCTTACCCCGGAAGACAGAATTTTTGGAGGTACTGAGGTGACCATCAGTCGACTGATTTCGACCACTGAAACACCGGATTTTTCATTGAAGATTCAAGCATTGTGCAGGTTTCATTGTTTATATCGGCCTATGTTTCAGTTCGCCGTTTGTCACCAGTGCCCAAGGCCTAAAGCTTAGAGAGTAAACGTTCTTGTGAAGCTTAGGTTGGTGCATCTATTCGTCACACTCTGATTTACGGTACCATACATATTTTCCCATTAACATCTGCTTAATTATTCTCGCCAACCGACGGCGTAGCAACAAAGTAAAGTATTCCGACCTCTTCGGTTGTGTGCGAAAGCTTGAGAAATGAAACACAGGTCATACTTGTCCGTTTGATTTCGGGCATTATTCTGGTGCGGAGTTGCAAATCATCTCTCAGTTGGCGTTGCCACTGTAGACTTCAGCTGAAAGGGTTACCCGTTACCGTCATATCAAGTGCAAAATTTCTTGAGTTGCTGATTACAGTCTGAATAAGTCAGAATTCGGACAAAGTCAGCTAACCACCAAGAATAACTCTTCAGAAGTTGGTTTGGGATAGAAATGTCTCGACCCCCGTCATTGAGCCAAATCCGGTTTGAAAAAAGGATGAGCAGTGCAATAAATGATAACATGACAAATCTGGGGAACCCAATGTTTCTTCATCCAAGCCTCAACAAATTGCAGGTACATGTAAAAACTCGGTATAGACCAAACATGATCAAAGAATACTTACTTTGCTTTTCCATACCAACTTAGGCGGAACAAGTAAAGCAATGAGGGCGGCTTCAAGTTGCGTTTACCAGATGAGCTAAAACAAAAGAATGAGTAAGAAGCTTCATAAGGCGATGTCGTTCTATCCTTCCAGTATTGGGCTAAAAAGCCGTGGGCTGCTGTTTTGGAGGACGATTTCACCAGGTATATCCCCAGTAGTCAGTGAAGAAAGTTTGATCATACTTTCAGCCTGGACAGACACCTATGCTGAAATACTTTACAATTTCCGCGACTGTTGTCGGATGTGACAAAACCAGATTTACTCTAGTGCCTATGTTCTGCGTCACGTCATGCAGCCGGCGCAGCCTAGTCAGTCTGGAACGATAGAACGTAAGCTGAGAAGTACGCTCGAGCATTACCTCTGGGCAACGCGGATAGGGAGCAGATTGGTTTGCCAGTGGGTTTGTGTGAATGTGTTTTGCATTAGCTCTTCAAACAGTAATTTAAGCCGATAGCTATAAAAAGACAAATACAACATATAGTGATTTTGTTTAGTGGATTATAGTTTCATTCAACCCTTTGTTATGTTATGTTCGGACAGCACGTAATACCAGTTACAACTCTGTCCAAACCGACTTCTGGCCAATAAACATGCGAACAACGATTGCCAATATTTCAACTATCGTTGTTCATCGAAACCCATGGCTTATTCACTTATCGTAAATGGGTTTTACGCTGAATCAACAGTAAGTCCCGGAGACTCAGTTCGAAGAGCGAACAGACAGGAGTAGTCCCCAAGTTGTCATCATGTTCATCTTTGGCGGAGAAGGCGAAAGTGACAGTCAGGCCAAGGTCTTTGTGGCCTGCAGGTATCTGCCCTTCACGTCTATCTACGTCTCAAGAACTCATAAGCAGCAATATATCTAGATCAATCCAAAATGATTTATTTATTTGCGTTTGGTAGCCCGACGAATGTTGATGAAGAAATTCATATAATGTGCTAACCACAAACTGTAGTGTTTACAGTGGACAGCTGTATAATACACCATATAATACACCATATAATACACCATATAATACACCATAATACACCAAAAAGGAGGGAAAGTTTCTTGGAATATATAGCCTTTAACGAAACCCCAAACTTCGAAAGCATGTGGGGAAATGTCTTACAGAGGTGCTTACACCAATAAAAAATATTTTTTGACAGTTGACCAAAAGTGAGGGGAACCAGCGAACTAGAGCAGATATCTTCAGTTTGAAGGGCCGTTAAATGATGTTCGGGTTTATTGAATGAATATGATTCCTTAGATACGTCACCATCCTATTTACCTCTATTTATGGATTTAGTCGACACTCTGTCGGGAATACGAATTGTTTGTTTTGACGAGCGGAATTCACTTAAGGTTTCCTTTTGGTAGTCGGCTGAATAGACAGCTGAGAACTTGCTTTTTCACATTGTCCTTTGAACTGTGTCACTACACAATTTCGACGCTGTGGCGTGTACATTATGCAAATGAACAGTCAGAACTCCACTTGCCTGGTTATGTAAATCGTCCTCAAAGTTAGCATAGCTTACCTAGACCGCGTCCTTTTAAAGGTGTTAATATCCCTGACCACTCGTCGGATGTAGACTTGAGATTTGCTTCACTTGGTTAAAAGTGATGCTCACACTTCATGCGTTCCTCTTAGACGCTCGGCTTAAATCAGACCAGGAGTTTGCATATCTGAACTATATGTGAGCTTCAGTAGACGAACAATATGTTTCCAGTAAAGTATGTATAATGCAATTTTTATTCAAGATCGCTAATATGCCATCATTTCACCGATTAACTGGATGTGCGAACTGCGTTGTGGTTTTGGCGCATTGATTCAATTGCTGAAAATTGCATTCGTTTCTCATCACATGGAACGCGCTAGCAAGTTATTTGATAACCGATATCAAACATTATTTGGCAAGAGCAAGATATTAGGACGAAACTGAAGTCATGTCCTCCTGTGAGGTAGTCAATCAACCCAGCAAAGAAAATGCTGCCTGTACTTTCACTCGGGCCCATGGTCAATTTATCCAATAGCTTTTACGAAGTAAGAAATACCACACGTTTGTTGTTGCCCAAGACATACCAAACTCGAGTTCTAGGGACAAATCAGATAAAGCTGAGAAATAATTTGTCCATGTATGTTTGAGAGTTGTTCATTTTTTCAAAATACTGGTAAAAGTCATTTAAGAAGGATCCTCAAAGTGGGGGTTCCCAAAGTCACTTTAGTAGGCGGTACCAAGTGGAAGAAACGGAGAAAGCGTTCTCCAATGAAACTGTTATTAAGGCGTACATACATCTGGGTATATCTGAGTTAAATACGGTAATTTACAAAATCTTGGTAAACTTCATCCTTCAAGCTGCTGCTACTCTGCACTTTTTGGCAATAATTATTAGCACACATCTCACGAACCTCCGGAATTAGTGGCAAAAACGTCCTCCAGGCTAGCTTCGAATGCAGCTTAGAATGCAGCACTAGTCTGATTTTATCAGCAAAACTCAGCCAACCAACAGCAGAGTGATGTCAGTTTCGTTACTGAACAGTGAAGGAGGCTATATCCTGTAGTCCTCAACCATCAGCCTGGAGGTCTTTAGATCTCCGCTAGTGATACCTCACACGAATCAAACGGGTACTTTATGACTCTTAGCCTCCCAGCATAGAGTGGCTTCAAAATGCAGAATGAAATCTGTTAAATATGAGATGCCTCTACGAATAAACCATCGACCCATAAGTCGAGATAGTGAATGAGGCTTACAGACTGATTATCCCCAATTACCATGAAAGAGATGGCTGGCTTCTAGAGAGCTTTAAATAGTAAAGTATCGTGTCCCCAGAGCGGTTTGTTTGAGACCGCATCGCTGACAAAAACAAACGAGTATTGATGACTGGGTAGCTGAGATAGGATTTCTGCTACAGCACTCCCATGGTTGACTGGTGGGCGGATTCTCGCATCCATTTCGCAACTGACTGATAGTGTAATCAGTTTGAAAAACAATGGATTTATGCTGTGTTACTTGGTGATCCCACGAAGTAGGAAAAATTAGATCCTATATCGGAAGTCTTTCATCAGGATATTGAATTTCTTAGCTTTCGTTCTTATGAGAAAGAAATTCGGATGAACTCAGGCAATATCCATCTTTTGTGAAAAGCCCATACTTGGTGTCAGCTCTAAATTTCTTCCAAGAAGAGTAAAAATTACAATCGAGTAATCTAAAACATTTTGTCAAGACTTATTTTGGTAAAATCAGGACAACAATGGCGAATGTAGTGTCTAAGCTAAGCGGCGACCTGCTCAAATTTAAGTCAGTGGTCCCAAAAATATCTTGCGCTTCAAACAAGTTACGGAATGTCGTCGTGGGTAGTGTTACAATTTCAAACATTTTGCGCAAAAAGCGCGCTTCAGACTCAATACGCAGGAAAAGGAACGCGTCAGATTATAGAACAGTGACTGTACGAGTTTGTACAAGGCTGGATTGTGGTCACTGCGAAACCCAAATGCGGAAAAAGGGTGCGATAAGTGTGCCTCAAGATTATTAGCTGAAACGCACTGAAGGGGTTTTCGAAATACAGTGAAATTTCAGACGTTATTTCGAGACAAACCAATTCACTGAAATGCATGACGTATCTAACATTCGAAACGAAGAGTACAGCGAAGAATACATACAACCAGTCAATATGCTACCTGCCTTTGTATAGCACGTTAGGAATGGTTACAACCTAAGGCTTCAAAGGATGTCCGAAAAATAGGAACAGTGCTCGCAAGTACAGTCAACCGTTTGAGATTGCAAGAATAATGCAGCCGAAAACCATTTTGCAAACAAATCTTCTCGACAGAATTAAGGTCCGATTCGGAGTATGGGGGTTGATCTTTTGGGATAGTTACAAACGCACTAAAACAATCGTATGCACCTAATTGTCCTTCTTGTTTTAAACTCTACCAACTTGTGAAATAATCTGTGAAAGCGCGTGGTTCTCACTGTTTGCTATTCCTCAAATAGCCGCAAAAGTTTTAATATTCTAATATAGCCTATTGTGCTTCTTTTAAAGGTAATTATATCTGTCTGATAAACATTATCTAAAAGCTTAGATATATATTTAGGTAGAAAACTCAGAATCCCTCACCAGACGGTTATCAAAGATTCAGATGAAAATGACCCAGCCGTACATAACGTGCAGACCAAACTCAACAGCAAAATACGGCTTTCCTTATTCTTTATTAGAGAACATCGTCACTTGTGTCTAAATTTGGGAACACCGGTAGGTCACGGATAACCAGGAGGTGTATTGTTCAGTCACCCCAAGATACGTACTTTCGAGTTAATGCTTTCATAGGCTCTGCAGAATGTCAATATGCCCAGAGGTGTTTGGGAATAACCACACAATTGGCCAAATTTTTTCGACAAAACACAATCACTTCGCCAGTTTGGGACGTCATGACCAGACAGAATATCACTTGGCATGCTAATCAGGTAAATGGCCCACTTCTCCACACTTCGCAGCAACTGTAATGAACTAGATGGCATCAGTTGAGTCACATATAGAAGTGCGTAGATTAGAACGCGGGGGATACTCCAACGCCTCAAACAGGGATACTCTACCAAAAAGACAATAATCCAACGACTGATGGATTTCATGCCAAGGGGAGACTGGGATGTAAAGTTCTCGGATCTGTTACTTCAGTCTGAGGAACAGAGTATGCAAAAAGGGGAAATATCTTATTTAAAAGAACAAAAAGCTTGCTGGATGCAAAAAACCACGTAGGAAATAACCTGCTGTGATATAATGAGTGGATAAATTATTTTCTGTATCCTGGCGACTTGGTTGAGGCACGGGATTTCCGAATGTCATTCCGGAAGGCTAACACAAACTCCGGAGAGTGCAAATTATTTGACTGAAAAAATAGACTCATAATAAGATGCCTCAGACTAAAATGAGTGTTGTGGGTGCCATTCATGAGATCTACATGGCCCTTCATTGGGTGAGCGGAAAAAACACTGTGGCCTATTCGTAAGAAGCTGCAGTGACAGAACAAATTAATCATTTTCAGAAAATGTATCA